GACATTTCGGGCCTAGACCCTTCATCAGAAATGAAGGGTCTAGACCCGAAACGTCAGCCTTCCTGCTCCTATGATGCTGCTTGGCCTGCTGTGTTCATCCAGCCCTACATCTTGTTATCTCAGATTCTCCAGCATCTGCAGTTCCTACTATCTCTGACGCAATGGGTAACTGCCCACCACACCAATTGTTTGCAGCTCTATGAATAAGAAGCTTGACAGCATCCAGGAAACAGCCTGACACCCGATCTGCCACTTTACTCATTCACTCACTCAACAGCAGATGCACTGTGGGACAAGATGCCCTGGAACAACTCACCCAGGCTCCTTCAACATCACATTCCAAACCTCAAACTTCAGTGCCCCAAGAAGAAATATAGCAGATGCGTGACAACAGCACCTGCAAGTTCCCCTTCAATCCACACACCATTCTGAAATGAAATTACACCCGGTCCTTTGGTGGCTTAAAATCCTGGCACTGCCTAACAAACTGTGCATGGACCTGTACCATAGATACAGCAGTTCAACGTTAGAAAACCACCACCTCACATTGCCTTGCCCATTCTGTAGTACTATTATCCAATGAAAGAATAAGAAAAGGTAGATCCCATGGTAGAGTGCAAATGTGGAGGGAACATAAAATTAGTCTTTTGCAACTATGCAGTGGTGTACTTCGCTTTGTCTACAAACATGGGTAATAGTGACAGTGTAAGTGATGACAAGTTTCTGGCACACAAGTTTATTTTCATCTGCAATACATGATTGAAACATTAGAAAACACCTTAATGTAATAGAAAGGATGTTAACTTATTCTATCACTTTGAGCAGTGATCTTAGTTATGGACTTTCCAAGATAGCTTTTCTTTCAGTTTGATGGCATCTGGAGTTCTCAACATTTCTGAGCACTCGACCCTTTTGGACACCTTTGTCAGCTTTTGCATTTTATCGGTTGACATACATGCATTGAAAATTTCAAAGTAATTAAGCATCTCTAAAGTGCACTAACTGTTGACTGGAATGCTGGAATTGTTAAACATTGGATGCTCTATTTAAGAAAGTTACAGTCTTCATTTTGGACAAATGAACTAAAACAGACCTGAATGCTTTCATTATTTGTATGTTATCCACGTGAATTTTGTGCACTGTTGGTAGATTCAGTAACACTCCAGCCTGAACTCGATTATGAACTTCAGCACACAGTCTAAACCGACCTTGCCTTGCCTGGAGATGGACACAAAACATTCACCTTTAAAAAGGTTTAAAAAGGGCAACAACTCAGCCTCTTGACCTCCATCAAACAGCATCAGCAAACAAAACATTATCCAGCCACTTATCCAATGACTTTTTGGAACTTGGAATTACGTGACGGTTTACTGTACTTCAAAAGCAATCCATTGGGTATCAGAGATAGTAAGGACTGCAGATGCTGGAGTCAGAGATAACAGTGTGTAGCTGGACCCTTAACAACTTCTCCTTTAACTCCTCCCACTTCATACAGACTAAGGAGATGACCATGGGAACCCACATGGGCCCAAGCAATGCCTGCCTACTTCATATGATACGTGGAACAGTCTCTTTTCTGCTGCTACATTGGCACTATCCCCCATGTTTTCCTCCGCTACATCGATGACTCTATCAGCACTGCCTCGTGCTCCCACAAGGAGCTTGAACAGTTCGTCAACTTTACTGACACCTTTCACCCCAACCTCAAATTCACCTGGACCATCTCCAATTCCTCCATCTCCTTCCTGGACCCCTCTGTCTCCACCTCTGGTGACCACCTCAAAATAGAGTCTATTTCAAGCCCACCGACTCCCACAGCTACCTAGACTACACTGCCTCTCACCCACCTTCCTGCAAGAATACAATCCCCTACTCCCAGTTCCTCTGCTGTGTCTGCTCCCAAGATGGGGCATTCTACTCCCAAACATCCCAGATCTCCTCTTATTTCAAGGACCGCAATTTTCCCCCTTCGGGGGTTGAAAATGCTCTCAACCACATTTTTTGCGTTTCCCACACCTCTGCCCTCACATCTCTTCCCCCCAAAAAAAAAAGCACAGACAGAATCCCCCTTGTCCTCACATGTCACCCCACCAACCTCCGTATCCAACAGAGATAGTAGGTCTAGGCCCGAAACGTCAGCTTTCCTGCTTCTCTGATGCTGTTTGGCCTGCTGTGTTCATCCAGCTCTACACCTTATTATCTCCATATCCAACATATCATTCTCCACCACTTCTGCCACCTACAATCCGACCCCACCCCTTTCGTAGGGACCGCGTTCTCCATGACTCCCTCATTTGCTCCACAGTCCCCACTAACCTCAGCACCTTTCCCTGCAACCACAGG